GAGGACCTGACCAATGCTTGGCACCTTTCTTCTTTTTCTTTTAGGATTTCAGGGATATCACCATGTCACTTAGGTTGTTCAATATGGCACAATAGAAAAAGCATTGTTTTTAGAGTTACAGGACCTGAATTCAAATCCTCTGTTTGCCAACATATGTAACTGTGGGCATATCACCTAAGCTCTCTGTGCCTTAGTTTCTTCTAATGTAAAATGAGTGGGTTGGACTGGATGCCCACTGAAGTATCATTAATTTTAAATCCATGATCCTGTGATTCATCTATTTCACAAATAGACCAAAATACATGGAAATTTTGCATCATGTAAAATAATACTACGTTGAAAACATTTTATACTTAAACATTACAGTTTACAAAGCATGTTTACTGATATAATCACACTTGATTCTCATGACAAACTCACAAGATTGGTTATATTCCTTAATTTACAGATGGAAAAACTCAGGCATTATTCTATAGATGACATCTTCTAGAGATATTAATTCTTTTAGGATTCAAAAATATTTGGACATCTACTTAAATACATGTTTCCCTTTTATAGATGTGGCAAAGTCACATTAAGATTGTTATACTTCCTCCTATCATTAATTTTTTTGGGCATTTTCCCTTCTTTTATCACATAAGGGTTTTTAATAGCAAGCACCATTTGCATTGTGTGATAAAGTATTATAGCTAGCCTGAAATTTTATTTTGCCTAAACTTGTCATAGTGATGGCCAGTCACTCAAACTATCACCTCTAGTCATTCCTGTAAGGGGATGGGAACTTCCAGTGCCATGTTTTCTTTTTAAAGGGGAGATGAGGTTGTCAAGAAATCTAAACAAATAATAAAATTATTAGTTTATTAATTCCAAAAAGGAAGCAATGACTGACTTTGTTCCTTAGACTATCAAAGATCTGTGTTGAGAGTTATCAGAGTTTGCATTTCCTGAATGTTTCAAAGTCAGTTTATTCTTATGCCCAAGCCCTTGTCTGTTTCATGCTTTTGCTTACTCTGCTGTTTTTTTAAATTATCTCATAAGACTTCTTTTTTCATGAAGATCCAGTAATATTTAAGCTTTTAATTTTTCATGGCATTTGAAGTCTAAAATGTGCAAATAAATAACAGTTCCTGACTCAAAAAGAATGGATTTATTAGAATATTTTATTGATAATTTTTATTTTTACAACATCTTTTACTTCTGAGTATTCTTTTCCTTCTCCCTACCAACAGGTCATCCTTGTTATAAATAACCTTTTGAAAAGAGGAAAAGAATCACATCAGCAAAACTAATGAATACACCAACCAAGTCTGACAGTATATAGAATATTTCACTCCCATAGTACTCTATTTCTTCAAAGATGGAAAGAGGTTCATTTTTCATCGCTCCATCATTGATAATCCTGGTCATTATAATGATAGTGTTCAGTCTAGTTTAGTTTTGCTGTTGTTGTTGTTTTCTCTCCATTTATATTATTGTAATTGCATATATTGTTTTCCTTTCCTGCTTTCTTCATTTTGGGTCAGATCATATAGGTTTTTCCATGCTTCTCTGAATTTGTTACATTAATAATTTCTTTTAACAATGAAATATTCCATTATATTCATGTATCACAATTTGTTTATTCATTTTCCAATTGAATCTGCTTTGTTTCCAGTCCTTTGCAAGTTAAATAATGATGCTATGAATATTTTGGTGTATATGTAGGACCTACCATTCTTTTTGTCTTTGACCTTCTTTGGGCATATACTTCAGCAATAGAATCCCTGGATCAAAAAGTATGAACATTTTAAAGTCACTTTCTTAGAATAATTTCATATTGTTTTCTATTATGGTTGGACCATTGCATAGTTTCAACATTATGTAAGTGTATTACCATAACAACATTTCCCTCTTAAAAATGTAATTTTCTCATCTTTAATCAACTTTGCCAATTTGGGCATGACCTAAAACCTCAGAGTTGTTTTGATTTGTATTTCTATTATTAGTAACATATTTCATACGGATAATAAGAGTTTGCAATTCTTTTTAAAGTTGTTTAAATCATTTGGCCACTTATCTATTAGGAAATGCCTGGACATAAAGACTCTTATATGACAATGTATGATACAAAGACTCTTCCCAATTGATAGCTTCCTTTCTTATTCGACTTGTATTGATTGTTTGCACAAAATCTTTTCAATTTCATGAAATTGAAATGATCTATTTTATCTTTTTTTGGTTACCTCTATCAAGGATCAATACTGGGTAGAAAACATACTTTGGTTGCGTTAGTGCAAATTGCCAAAACTAGATAAGCAATACATATCATAGTTTAACCCATAGTTTCTGAAAACCTTAAGTAGTTAACTCTACATGATATAATTCAGAAGTTCCCAAAGTGGGCAATACCACCCCCTAGGGGGTGCTGGAATGATTGGGGGGGGGTGATAATGGCCTCAGGTACAATTGGGGGGTGTTGAATAAAAATAAAGGAGTGGTGGAAGCATAAGGAAAGAATATAGGAAATTTTGAAAACCTGTTTGTCCATTTCATCCATTGTGTAACAGAGTTAAAGTTGTAGTGATTCCATTATTTTCCAAATAAACACACAAAATGCAAATTATAACTGATCAGTGGTCAAGTCTGTGGACAGGTCTTAAAAAGCAAGTGTTGGTAGGTGAGCATGTCGCCTATTGTTGGGAAGTCCAGCATGCATCGGCAGGAATATGTGTGTGAAATGACTTGTTTACAATACCATACTATATGGTTACACAATGCAATATTGTGTCCTCAAATTTTCAATGCAGGAAAAACCCCACAAATGTACAATAAATTATTAAATTTAAGATGCATCATTTAAAATGTTGCATATTTTTTGAAATGACACAAATTTTAAAAAATTCAAGGGTTAAAGAAAGTAGATTTCCAGGGGGTGCTGAGTAATTCTTTTTTGAAAAGGGAGTGGTCAGTCAAAGAAGTTTGGGAACCTCTGGCATAATTAAAGGGTTGTCAGGAAGCCCACTCCCATCCTCCTTCCAAAATATATTCTCTTCCTTACTGTCATAGTACCTGAAATTTCAATTTGGTTCAGTCCCTTAGATCTGGAACCATTTAAGTTTTCCAAAGTCTTCTGTTAGCTCCTGGGAAGGGTGATAAATTGACATTAGTTACTTTGCGATGGAGTGTAGGCCATGATATAGTTGAAAGAGTATCAGATTTAAAGTAGGAGACCTGGATTTTTCTTCTAGTGGTCTTTCACTAATTTTCTGTGTAATGATGTGAGTCTCCTCACGTCTTCTCGACCTCAAGGTCCTCAAAAGTAGAATAATGGCATTGGATTAGATATTATCTATGGTCCTTTCCAGATCCAACATTCTATGTTTCTATGACAAATGAGATAATATTTGCAAAAAGTGCTTCCTGCAGTGCCTAGCACATAATAGGTACTATTTTTGTTGTTGAGTTGTTTCAGTCATGTATGCCTCATGATCCCATTTGAGATTTTCTTGGCAAAGACGCTGAAGTGATTTGCTATGTCCTTCTTCAGCTCATTGTACAGATGAGGAACTGGGCAAACAGGGTTCAGTGATTTGCCCAGGGTCACACAACTAGTAAATGTCTGAGGCTGGATTTGGAGTCAGGACTCAGAAAGAAGAATCTTCCTGACTCTAGGCCCAGAACTCTGTCTGCTTCGCCGCTTAGGTACCCTAATAAGTATGATAAAAATGCTTATTCCCTTCCCCTTTCTCTTCCCCATGGGATAGGAGCCTAAGGTGTTTGGGATAAAGAGTGCCAGGAATAGAAAGTAAGATCACAGATTGAGAGCTATTTAGTCATCTATAGGGTATCTGGCACAACCCACTTATTTTATAGATGAGCAAACCTAGGCTCAGCCAGGTTAAACATCAGAGCCAGGAAGTGAACCCAGGTCTTCTGATTCCAAATATTGTGGTCATTCCGTTGTACCACATTGCTTTCTGATCATGGGGCATTTTTAAGGAAGTAAATGCTAAATAAATGTTTGTCAAATAGATGATAAATAAGAGAAGCAAGGTGTTGATGACAAATCACCTATTTCACAATGACAACCCATTTATTGGGTGTGATTCAGGGATGGAAAATGAAAGGTAGAAGTAAGGTATGCATACTTAGGACAGTTAAGGTATACAAGCTTGGGCAGCTAGGTGGTGCGGTGGATACAGTGGCAGTCCTGGAGTCAGTAATACTCATCTTCCTGAGTTCAAATGTGGTCTCAGACACGAACTAGATGTGTGACCCTAGACAAGTCACTTAAACCTGTTTGCCTCAGTTTCTTCATCTGTAAAATGAGCTGGAGAAGGAAATGGCAAATCACACTGGTATCTTTGCCAAGAAAACCCCAAATGGGGTCATGAAGAGTTGGACAGGACTGAAATGACTGAACAACAATGACAAATGTTTAGATCAGGGAAGAAGTCAAGAATGAAAGGGTATATAGTAGTGAGAAATCAGAATGATTTTTTTGGAGAGGACAGACTTCCCTGGCTAGTAGATGGATAGCTGTTTGACCATGGAAATCACATATCTCTACCTTGTCTTTGAGTAGGCTGATAATCCTTTATGAGCCTGGGTTAGGCAATGAACTAGAAACTCCAAACCTCATAGGTCACTGAAGCTTGGTATATGATATTACTATAAATAACTCTTCTCCTCAGCCTCAGTTTTTATAACTGTAAAATGTTAGATGATAGATACTAACCTAGCTCTGTAGAGATGTTGGGAGACAACTCATTTCTATTCATCAAGTAGTTTTACCATCATAAAATACCGAGTGGTTAATAGCAGAAATAAGTTTCATTTTTCTCAATCTTCTTTCCCTTACTTTATTTTTTTTTCAAAAGCCTGAATTGCAAGTAATGCGATTTGTGACAAAACCATATTTGTATGAGTGAGACTTTTTTTCTCCTTGGCATAAACAACATAAAATATGCATTTGTTCTATACAGTAATTCCATGTGGTAATTTCATTTTCATTATTGCAGAGGTGATGAGTATTACATTGAAGATGCACCAATTTATGGTAACGTTGATAATATGCTTTCTGGTAAGTTGTATTTTATTGTGATCATGTTAAAATGATTTTACAGTAAATATATGTTCTAGGAAGAGGGGGAGATTAATATCTTACTGTGTGGGTAATTTATCTCATTATTTGCAATATCGCTATTGTAACACATTAGCTAAGTCTCTAACTACTTTAGGGTTGCCTACATTTGACTCTAGTAAAAATTCTCTTATAATGAATACTGATACAAAGAAAAGTTTGCTTTGTAACAAAGCGATTTCCAGTGCAGGGGGTGTCCCATAGAAACCATGCTCCATTGCCCTGTTTACAACAAATTTTCTAAAAAAAAATAACCCTGAACAATGAAAGCTTTCTTTTGGTTTCTGGCTATGCTTGATAATTAAAGGATCTATTTGTGTGCTGCTTAATTGTAGACAGAGGTGAGAAGAGCTTAACTGCAGCTGAGCTCTTTATAATTCGTTTATGTTGGCATCAAGGGCAGCCTTGGTTCACCCCTTCCTAATTGACACGTTCCAACCACCTAAGTAGAACCCATCAAAATCCCTTTACCATTAACCAGGTCCAAAAGCTATTGGGAGGAAAAAGTTGGCAGCATATGTATGACATTTTCCTTGTCCCCCACTGGGTTCTAGATAGTTCTTTTAATTTGCTAAATTTTAGCAGAAAGGCTTTCTCTTCTCTTCTTTCTCTAGATCCTACAATTCTTGATTTCAGTCACTATGCTGATTTTAACGTAGGACCAATAAACAATGTGGATGTCTCCTTGATATTTTGCCTATAATTATGTTTGTAAAGCTTTATAGATATACCTAGATTGTATTTTTAAAGGTTTCTTTTTTCCATTTTCCTTTTTGTCCTCTGTTCTGTGAGGAGTTAGGAGAAACTAGAAAACTAAGTGCAACCGTGGGCTAGGGAAGCTAGGTGGCACAATGGATAGAGTGTCAGTCTGGAGTCAGGAAGACCTCAATTCAAATCCAGCCTCAGATACTTACTAACTGTATGACCCTGGGCAAGTCACTTCACCCTGTTTGCCTCAGTTTCCTCATCTGTAAAATGAACTGGAGAAGGAAATGGCAAACCACCCTAGTATCTTTGCCAAGAAAACCCCAAAAGGGGTCACAAAGAGTTGGACACCACTGAGCAACAACAAATCTGTGGTCTGGGTCCTTATTTGTTTGCTTTGTTTTGGTCTAGACCTGTATTTTCTTGGTGAAGGGAACTATTGGTTACAATACTCACTTTATCAATGCAGATCAGCTAGTGTTTTACCATTTAATAGTCTTAGAATGCTGCCCTGGGCACCGAAAGTTTAAATAACTTTCCCAGAGTTGTAAAATTATCCTATGTGAGAGGAAGGACTTGAACCCATGTCTTCCAGATTCTGAGACTGGCTCTCCTCTACTATCAAAATTAAGTTTATTACTGCTTGTTTCACCCTTTCCAATCTCAATACCAAGTTTTATGGATTTGAGGACTACTAATAGTCATTCCCACAAAGATTAGTGATATCTTTGTGCTTCATAGAACATGAGTTTTACATTATATTTCAGGAAATGTTGACTTATAATTAGGCATAATCTTTTTCTAGGAAATTTGTTTTATATTCTATGACTCAAAATTGGATAATTCATAAAAAGAGAATGTATTGCCTGGTCCTTGCCAAAGATGATTATCACCATTTTTCCCCCTCAAGTATGCCCACTTGGGTACACAAGCTATCAGCTAACATCTTATTATCTGTAAGATGAGGCATGAAGGGGACAAAAGGGCAAAGCAAAGGTTCCCATACCTTTGTCTCCTTAATAAGAAATGAATGAAATTTTGCTGGCTCACCAAAGCTATACAGAGAGGTTATTTAGGACAAAGCTCAAGGGAGGCAGAGACTTTTGTCAGTGGTTGCTGGATAGATCCCTTAATGTAAACTCACTTTCTCAGGCTTATAGACTTTCACTACTTAAAGACATTGTTTGTCTTTCAGCCTTGCAAACTTCATTATACTTCTTGTTCATACCCAATCAATCAAATAGTAATTATGCATTTCAACTGAGTTGTTACAACCTCCTAATCTTTAGTAACAGATAAGTCAAAAAGGCCTAGGTCCTAATCCTGCCCCAGATGTTTATCAGTTATGAGACCCTGGGCAAATGATTCATTTTCTCTGGGTCTCATTTTCCTCATCTATAAATGAGGAAGTTGGAGTCAATGAGCTCCAAGGTCTCTTCTTGCTTTAAATTTATTGTCTTTTGATCCTATGAGTATGCTGGAAAATTCATTGGTTTTCCATAATATTTAAACATTATTCTCCTTGGACTTTCATAATGTGCTATGGGTTTCAATATTATAGTTACTTTCCCACTGAAGTTTACATTGAGGATGGAAAATGGATTAATGTGATTTCATCTTGTAGCTGATTATTTTCTTCTCACCATTAACTCTGTGGTCAAAGACACGTTCTTGTTGTACATATTTACTGCAGAGTGAAAGATACTTTCTAGAGAAGGAACTACACAAACTGAACCACTTCTTTTTTCACCTCCACCAGTTGAGAGAGGGTGACTCAGAGGGCCATGTACTGTTCAGAGCTTCAGAATTGTAAATGTAGTTTTCAGCCCACGTTTTAATCTGAGCTACAAATTTTATATTTGTCTCCATTCTAACCATATTCTTTTTACCTCACAAGGACCTACGGTTGAAAGCTTCTATGAACAAATGAAAGCCCGGCCTGAGAGAGCTATAAATGAAAAGCAGGAATGCTCCCCTATGCAGGTGATTTTTCCTGTGGGGCTCACAGACAAGTTCGAGGGAAAAGTGGAGGCCTACTAAGGCAGCTAGGTGGTGCAGTGGATAGAGTGCTGGTCCTGGAGTCAGGAAGACCTGAGTTCAAATGTAGCCTCAGACACTTACTATCTGACCCTGGGCAAGCTATTTAACTTCTTTTTGCTTCAGTTTTCTTATCTGTAAAATGAGGGGTAATAATAGCACCTGTGTCGCAGAGTGGATGTGAGAATAAAATGATATTCGTAAAGTCCTTTGGAAAATGCTATATCATTGGAAAATATTAATAACCAAATAAACAGAAGATTCTGGTCACCCACACATCTAATCCATGCTTCTGCTAGGAATTTCCTACATTATATGCAATTCAATACCTTCTAAGTACAGGTTCACTGTCCAAACAAAAAGAATTCAACTTTCAGTCTCAGGATGAGAAAGAGAATAATTTGGAGAACAGAAAACATTCCATCTCTGATTGGCCAGTTCAACCTTTTCACTATTTGAAACAATGTGTATTTAGTATCTACATAAATGTCAAAGATTCACCAATAAAAAGACAATGGATGCCACTTCCAGTGCCTCTGCTTTGCATTAAGGTAAATGAGGTCCTATTTTCTGGAACTTTGACAAAACAACAACAAAACTCTGCTAGAGAAGCGGCCACAAGCTCTTTCCATGTTCAATCTCTTCTACTTTCTGGAAAAGGACAAAAAAAGGTTTTGATAGAAACTCAAAGAGTGAGTAATGCAATAGTTTGCATCTTAACCATCCTAATAAAATTAATTAGAACCTAGGAATTTCCCAAGATGTAAGATTCCCCTTTCCTCACTGCTTAGTTTCATATACTCTCCAGAAATTGATAGGCCTTCTTGGAATTTTTATTAAGAATCCCAGATACCTTAGCAGTGATCTAAAGATACTAGTTTCTAATAATGTTTATCACCAAACCACAGCTCAAACTATAAATATGTGGTTAAACTTATGCAAAGTATGAAGTTGCCTTCTGACTAATAGATGTATCTGTTATGTTCATTTCAGCATGTGTATTGGACTTGAAAAAAAATTCATACTCTTCTTCTACACAGTGGTTTCCTATCAATTGTTTGATCCTGGGAGGTCAAATAACCCTTTTTTTTTTTCTAAAGCACTTTTCAGACAGTTTGCAAGTAGGACCACAGTAACTGAACTAGAACTACAGATCAGTAATGCTTGAGTGGTGCATAAGCTGGGGATTTTGAATGGCAGTTAATGAAGTCTTTGGTACACAGCATATGTAAACATAAAAGGCCAGTGTATTTCAGACAGCATCTGGTTTTTACTCAAGCGAAGCCTGCACAAAGCCTTAAGGCATTAGAGGAAAAAGAAGGTATCACTTTATATAATAGCTTTTCAGAAATGGTGTTAGCATTTCTAGTCTTACCATTATACTCTTCCCATAAATATAGCAATGCCCATTTAAAATAATTGTTTCAGAGTCCCTCAGTTCTATCTGATTAAAATGGTCACAACAAAAAAACTGTCATATTTGTTACCATGAAACCTGCTTACTGAGAGGTAGTGGAGTGGGGTGAGAGAGAGCAATCTCAGAGGCAGGAAAACCTGATGTTAGGTCCTACTTCTGACCCATATAGGACCCTGAGCAAATCACTTACCATCTTTCCATCCTGGCAGAATAACTTCTAATCTATGTAGGTAGAGGAAGTTTCTTAAAATGGGACATCCCTACACCCATGATATCACAAGTCTGGACTCCCTCCTGCCCTAAATCTCCAGGTCCTAAAGACATCTGTTAGCTGTTAGTTATTAATAAAGGCTTTACTGCCGAGTTGTAACTAAAAATTGTTGCATTCAAAACAAATTAAACTGCAAGAAGAAAGAGGAGAATTGAAGATGACAGGAGGCCAGTTTCCCGAGGAGAAGGGATACAGTCTTTCCTAAAAGTTCAAGGTGGCACCTCTGTTCCATGCTTATAAGTCCCAGTTACCCTGGGGAAGAGGTAGCAGCAATGGCAAAGGGGAGAAGACTACCACAGCAACAATACCTAGGGCTAATGGTCCTGTGGCAGCAGGTGAAGGACTAGTGAGACAGATATTCCATCCTGTTGCATTGGTACAAACCTCTGGTTGAGCCATACTAGTTACATCTCAATTCTACTACATTATAAAGGAAACTTTTAAAGATAAAATATCATTTTTTTAAAACTGCTAGACAAATTGGAAACAAATCTATTTTACTTCTAAAATCTAGAGTTGAAAGGTAGACATTTAATCTCTCAGTCCACTGCTAGTTACTTTACCTAAAGCTTTTACTCTACTAAGAAAATGGGGGTTATGATATTCCTTCTTCTCTAACCTGGACTTACTCTGCTGTCTTTTTCTCCTGTGTCTTATAAGATATCCCTTTGCTTTTCCAAGTTTAATGCCTCTGTTTGTGCCCTTAACCTCCATTCTCTGTCTTGTCCCCAGGATTTTGCTCCCTCCAATTATTCCCTAAACTTTGTAAAGATGCAAAGACCTTCCCTCTCTTAAAAGAAATACCTTTCAGTTTTGCCCCTCCCCCCAATTATCATCACTGAACTCTCTTGCCTGTCACAAACTTCTCAAAAATGATGATGTACACCTACCCTATGTTCTTATCATCCAATCTAGCCTCAACCCCAAAGTCTGGCTTCTACTCCCATTGCTCTACTGAAACAATATTCAATTCAGGTAACCAATGGGCCTGATACCTGCCAAAACCAATGGTCTTTTCTTGCTAGTCTTTGTCTTCTTTGGCAGAGGCACTTTTGGTGCAGTAGAAAGAGCATGGATTCTGGTACCATAAGAACAGTATACAAATCTTGGCTCTGCCACTTGAGATCTCTATCTCCTCACAGCCAGTAATCATCCAAGGCAAGATTTAAACTAAGGTCTTCCTAGGTGTAAGTCCAGTCCTCTGGAACCTACCCACTATATTACTTATTTGTTATCTAGATTAACTGTTCCTAGCATATACCTTGTGCTTTCCTGACATTGGACCTTTGCTCATGCTGTTTCCCATGCCTGGTTAGCTGTTCCTCACATATCTACCTACCCAAATTCTTTGAGACCTTATTCCAGGTTGCTTTCACTAATCAAGTGGATCAAAAGCCATCTCACCCTTTTAATGAATCGTACTTAATATTGTTATTCCACTTGTATGTAGCTTTTTTCTTTTGTCTGTTAATTTATTTATTTTTAGTTTTCAACATTCATTTCCACAAGATTTTGAGTTCCAAATTTTCTCCTCATCTCATCCCTTCCCCAACCCCAAGACAGAGTGAATTCTGAATACCCCTTCCCCTAATCTGCCCTCCCTTTTATCTCTCCTTCCCCTTCTCTTATCTCCTTCCTTTTCTATTTTCCTGTAGGGCAGGATAGATTTCTATACCCCATTACCTGTATATCTTATTTCCCAGTTGCACATGAAAACAATTTTTTAACATTTGTTTTTAAAACTTTGGGCTCCAAATTTTCTCCCTTCCTCCCTCCCCACCCACCCTCACTGAGAAGGAAAGCAACTCAATACAGGTTATATTTGCATACTCATGCAAAACACTTCCATAGTAGTCATGCTGTGGAAAACTAAGTATATTTCCCTTCATCCTATCCCATCCCCTGTTTATTCTATTCTCTCTTTTGACCCTGTCCCTCCTCAGAAGTGTTTGCTTCTGAGATTACCCCCTCCCCCAATCTGCCCTCCCTTTATCCACCCCTTCCCTCTGCTTTCTTATTCCCTTCCTTCCTATTTTCCTGTAGGGTAAGATAGCTTTCCATACCCAATTGAGTGTATATGTTATTCCCTCCATAAGGCAAATCTGATGAGAATAAGATTCACTCATTCTATCTCACTTTCCCCTACTTCCTTTCCACTGTAAAAGCCTTTTCTTGTCAGTTTTATGTGAGATAATTTGTCCCATTTTACCTCTTTTTTTCTCCTTCTCCCAGTATAATCCTCTCTCACCCCTTAATTTTATTCTCCAGATATCACCCCTTCATCTGAAACTCGCCCTGTGTCATCTATCTATCTATCTATCTATCTATCTATCTACCTACCTACCTACCTACCTATCTATACATACATACATATAATTTTTTCCCTCCAACTACCCTAATACTGACAAAGGTCTCATGAGTTACAAATATCATCGTTCCATCTAAGAATGTAAACAGTTCAACCTTAATAATTCCCTTACGATTTCTCTTTCCTGTTTGCCTCTTCATGCTTCTCTTGAGTCTTGTATTTGAAAGTCGAATTTTCTATTCAGCTCTGGTCTTTTCATCAAGAATTCTTGAAAATCCTCTATTTCACTGAATGACCATTTTTCCCCCTGAAGGATTGTCCTCAGTTTTGCTGAGTAGGTGATTCTTGGCTGTAATCCTATCTCCCTTGCCCTCCAGAGTATCATATTCCAAGCCCTCCTGTCCGTTAATGTAGAAGCTGCTAAATCTTGTGTTTTCCTGATTGTGTTTCCACAATACTTGACTTATTTCTTTCTGGCTGCTTGCAATATTTTCTCCTTGACCTGGGAACTCTGGAATTTGTTTACAATACTCCTAGGAGTTTTCCTCTGGAGATCTCTTTCAGGAGGTGATCAGTGGTTTCTTTCCATTTCAAATTTACCCTCTACTTCTAGACTATCAGGGCAGTTTTCCTTGATAATTTCTTGAAAGATGAAAGGCTCTTTTTTTTGATCATGGCTTTCAGATAGTCCAATAATTTTTAAATTTTCTCTCCTGGATTTATTTTCCAGGTCAGTTATTTTTCCAGTGAGATATTTCACATTGTCTTCTACTTTTTCATTCTTTTGGTTTTATTTTATAATGTCTTGATTTCTCATAAAGTCACTAGCTTCCAATTGCTCCATTCTAATTTTTAAGGAAATATTTTCTTCAGTGAACTTTTGGACTTCCTTTTCCATCTGGCCAATTTTTTTTAAGGCATTCTCCTCATTGGCTTTTTGGACTTCTTTTGCCATTTGAATTAGGCTATTTTTAAAGATATTTTAAGGTGTCCGTTTTTTTTTGGGTCTCCTTTAGCAAGCTGTTGACTAGTTTTTCATGCTTTTCTTGCATCATTCTCATTTCTCTTCCCACTTTTTTCTCCACTTCTCTTATTTGCTTCTCAAAATCCTTTTTGAGCTCTTCCATGGCCTGGGACTGATTCATATTTTTCTTGGAGGCTTTGGATGAAGGAGCTTTGACTTTGTTGTCTTCTTCTGGTTGTATGTTTTGATCTTCTTTGTTACCAAAGGTTCTATGGTCTGACTTTTTTTGCGTGGTTAGTTCATGATCCCAGCCAATTACTTGAGTTTTAAACTCTTTGTTAAGGTAGGGGTCTGCTTCTAGAGTAGAGAATGTACTATCCCAAGCTTCAGGGCTTTTGTGCAGCTGTTTTCAGAGCTACTTCCAGGGACCTGTAAATTTTCAGTTCTTCCAAGGTGGTATGATCAAGGGTGAGGTGTTTACTCCTTTCCTGGCCTGTGCTCTGGTCTGAGTGACCACAAGCACTGTTTTCTGCCTTGGAACTGTGAGGAGGATTCCTTTTCCACCAAGGCGCAAGCTCCACCATGCCAACACTCCTCCCATCCCCAGGATTGCCACCCAGAACCGTGGCCCAGATCCAAGCACAGGCAAAGCAGGAGAATCCTGCCTCAGCACTGGCAAAGAGATCCCTGCAATCTCCCTCTGATCAGCCACCCGATTCACCCTCAGTCTGTGGGCCCAAAGCTCAGGAAGCAGCCACCACCCTGGGGCTGCACCAGGACTGGGGTTGGGACCAACCTTCTCTCTCAGGGTCAGACACACCTTTCTTACTGACCTTTTAAGTTGTCTTTGGCATTTGTGGGTTGAGAAGTCTGGAAACCTCCTCAGCTGCCAGTGATTCTGTCCTCTGAGGCCTGCTCCAGGGTTGCTGAGGCCTGGTCTTTGCACGTGCACCCACACTGAGCTGCATTTCTCTCTTAGCCAGGCACAATATACCTTTCTGATCAACAATCCAGGTTGTCTTGGGCTAGAAATTTGTTTCACTCTCTTTTTGTGGGTTCTGCTGCTCTAGGATTTGTTTAGAGCCATTTTTTATAAGTATTTGGAATGGTTTGGGGGAGAGATCAAGCAAGTCACTGCTTTTACTCCACCATCTTGGCTCTGCCCCCCTTGTATGTAGTTTTTTATTAGAATTGTACATGTACATGTCTTATTCTCCCTAATGGACTATATATTATATCCAAGGTCAAGAACCATTTCTTACATTCATATATCCCACAGCACCTAGTACTATGCTTCATACACAATAGGTATTTAATAAGCATCTGTTGAATTAGTGAATAAATTCATACTTCTCTGTAGTTCCTAAATCAACTACTCAATTCTGAAATTTTTATAAAATTCCTTCCTTCTCTGGCTTACTCTTGATTGGGAAGAAGTCATATAATGAGTTGATCTGAAAATTGGGCTGATACTCAGTTAAGTCCTACTGGCTTCTACCCTTGCTAAAAGGCATGTACCTTGTCCTAAAGAACTTGGTTCATTCTTTTCCCCTTTCTGATCTGATTTGAAAAGTTTAGCACTAGAAAGCCATCTGATAGGGGCCAAGAGTAAAGAAAAACTAGTGGGAACCATTGAAGTAAAAGGATATGCTAAACCAGGGGTGGGGAACCTGCAGCCTCAAGGCCACATTTAGCCCTCTAGGTCCTCAAGTGTGGCCCTTTGACTGAATCCAAACTTAACAGAACAAATCCCCCTAATAAAAGCATTTGTTCTGTAAAACATGGACTCAGTCAAAAGGCCGCACTCAAGGACCTATAAGGCCACATGTGGCCTCGAGGCCACAGGTGCCCAACCCCTGTGCTAAACAATGAAAAATTAACATGCTTTTCCCCCTCCTTCAGGCAAAGGCTGACACACAGATATGCTATGCCTCACTGGATAACAGCTTCAAGGGGAAACGCAGAAAGCCGAAATCTCACTTTTCACCCAAGGATGAAAATGAGAAATTACATGCAGTGGATACCAGACTACCTCAAAACAATTCAGTTCCCAGTTTCAGAGAAGAAAGAGATGTGTCGGAGGAGAACATTCATGATGATCCCATTAGACTATTTGGTTTGATTCATGCAAAGAAAGAGCAGATAAGTATGCAAGACTATGATCCTGCTTAGTGAATGGATGATTTTTGCAACAACAACAACAAACAACAACAACAAAACCCACATCATGTCATGATTTAACTTTAAAGCAAGAGAACAACTTTGGAGAGTTGCATGTTGATCAGCTGTTTACTAGAAGTTTAACTTACCTCTGCTTCAGATACCAATTTGCCACTCTGGCTGATATTAGTTAAAAAAAAAAATCTGTATTAACACATGGCATAGATAACGCTTGCAGCAATGAAATAATGAACATGCACATTAAACGTGATCATTGAATTGAACCTGTGACCCAAACATTCTGTCCTAACCAAACTACTAATGATTAATTTTCATCTGGGGAAAAAACCCAAATCAACTCTTTTCAAACTGGTGGGCTCATAAGCAGATTTAAAGAAAGGTTGGAGGAAACCAATCACGCCTTCTCCATTTCTATCAGGGCGATTCACCCACCTTCACCCAGCATTTGGGCTTTTTGTCTTTTAATAGAATTACAGAATCACACCATTTTAGAGTTGAAAGGACTTCAGTGGCCATCTAGTTCAGTCCTTCTATGAAAGGAATGCTCACTGTAATATACCTGATGAGTGCTCATTCAGCTTCTGCTTAAAGATGAACAGGGACCACCATGTCTCAAGGCAGTCTATTCCACTTGTGGACAGCTCTCATTGTTAGGAAGTTTTCCCAAACATCTAGCCTAAATTTGACTCTGCAATTTCCATTTATTGCTCCTGGTTCTGTCCCCTCTCTGGGACCAAATAGAATATGTCCAATCCCTCTTCTATACAAGAATCCTTGAAATACCTAAACACAGAGATCATATCTCCCTTCTCTCCTTCCTCTCAGTTTTTTTCTTCTCTAGGACATATATCCTCCCTTCTTTTGATCGATCTTGACATGACATAGGTATAAAGACCTTCGCCATTGTGGGTGCCTTCCTCTAGGTGCTATCTAGCTTATAAATCGATATCTTTCTTAAACTGTGGCAGACATAACTAAATAAAATACTCTGATCAAGTTAGAGTACAGAATGGGAAGTCGCCTTCTCTTCTTGTAGTTTTATGAATCAGGATTTCAAAGAGCAGCATGGCAAAATAGAAATAGAACCAGATACAGGACACCCAAATTCTGGTTCCACCATATAGCTGTGTAGGTATAGGACCAAAAGGGACCTGAGTATTTGCCTCAGCCCCCTCATCTGGAAAAAGAGAAAGAAACAGCAAATCACTCTAGTATTTTTGCCAAGAAGACCTCAAATGGATGACAAAGAATTGGACATGACTAAACAACAAACAAATAACTTTGAAGGAATGGTTTGGATGTAGAGGCTACTCAGGTCCCTTTTGGTCCTATACTGATGATTTAAGAACATGCTGTCCTTAGGGTTCATCTCATTTTTTTGTGAATAAAAATTATAATTATAGTTTTATTCCTTCATCATTTCAGGGAAACCAAACCACATGAGGAAAAATTGAAGGATCTAGGCTTTAATTAAGACTAGAAAAAACTAAGGTGAAATACAGCTGTCAAATGGAAAAGGGAGTTGACTTCTGTTGGATTGCTCCAGAGGGTGGGTGGAAGATGCAAAGAGACAGATTTCAGTTCAACATAAATAAGAATTTTCTAACATTGGAAACCATCCAACAATGAAACAGACTTCGTTCTTCTAATAGAGCCTCCATGGCCATCTCTTAGAAATACTATAGGATGGTTTCCATCACCAGATAATAGGTTTAAACTAGATGAGCTTTAGAGAACCTTCCAACTTTAAGATTCCATGATTTTATGAAGAGAGGAAGAAGAGATATTTCATACCTGGAAAGAATTCCATCCCTCTCTTTCAGTTTCTCAGTTCTTATCTAGCGTTAGCTTTTTTTGTTCTATAACTTACCATATCCAATGGCTTAAATCTTTGAGAAAGAATTATATTACATTTTTGTCAAGCTAGTCTTTTTAGGTAAAATGAGTCCACGGGGTGACCGTTCACACTGACGTGCCTCATACCTCTGAGAAAGGTCACGTGGCCACGTACTCACTTCTGGGCTGGCTCACTCATCCCAACCTGCTTTCACACTGGCATGTCTAGTTTCCCAGAAACGTCACGCTTCTATGATTACATTCAAATTCTCTCTGTGTCCAGGAGGTAACCCCTTTGGGTGGATGGGTAGGAGACAGTGAGAAACACTCTCCCTAATAACTACTTTAAGGTCTAAAAGTTCCATCATTGTGTGTGGCTATATGTGTAAATGAAAGTGCATCTACAAGGGCTGAATAGCTAAAGTAGTAGGTAGGGGGAGTATATTCCCCACCCTCACCCCCTCCCAAAAGTATTATCTCTAGGATCCCAAGAGAGTTTTTACTTAGTAATAAAACAAAAATCATAAGAGGCATTCATATATTAAAAATAAGTGCAGGAATAATAACACATCATCACATCATAATAAACACATCACACTCATATATTAAAGTAAATGCAGGAATAATACATACATCTTCTTAAACTGTGGCAGACAAAATTGAACAAAATAACCCAGATGTAGTCTGACTATGGAGTGGAAAAGTGTCTTCTTTTCTTGGGCTTTTATGAATCAGTGTTTTGGAGAACAGTATGACATGAAAGAAACAGCACCAGACTCAGGAGTTCTAAGTGAATCCTACTCTCCCACTAATCCACTCAATATCTGTGGGGAAGACTGGTCTCACACACACAAAAATCTGGCAAGAGAATACAAGTGAGAAAAAGCCATGTGCTCACAGTATTGAATAACTCTAGACGGAAGGCTCTGATGTAATTAGTCTAGCCAGGAACATGAATATGACACAAAACCTCTTCTTTGCTACCCGCTCTCCTTCTGATCCCCATTGCTTTCCAGTTGGGCAGATTCTCTTCTCTCCCATTCTTGAATTGACAAAGCATTTAAAAGCCCTTTCTAGTTACAATCACTTAAAAGGGGATTAGAAAAGAGTTATAGTATTGATTTGACTAACAATTTCCTTTAAATCTAAGAATGGCAAAGTCCATCTTACTGCTTTTTTCAAGACAAGGGAGACAAACCTAGTCAAGTACTCACTCTCCAAGATGTTGAAAGATTCTATTAGTTTGCGGCAAACAGAGCTCACAGTTCATTGCCCTCAGGTTGACTCTCAGAGCAAGGCAAATAAATCCAGCCAGTCTTTCACTCATCAGAATTCTGCATTGTCCAATTAGATCTCCACATCTCTTCCTACATAGCAAAGCAGCTGCCTCGCCTATCTTTACCCTTTCTGCTTACCCAAGAACAAGAAGCTATGCTGAGAAATTTCAGAAAAGTCATAGCTGTAAGTGAAGCTCTTCCTTTGAGCTCTGGTTTTATCCAGTCAGTCAGGAGATAGCCACTGAAGCCTTCTTGTCAGCTAATTAACTGCTCCTGCTTACTTCACACTGCAGAGATAGAGCAGCTTTTCTAGGTTGATGAATTTTCCCTCTCTTGAATATTTTTTTACCACTCCTATCAGCCTTCTTCAACTTCATGTGACTCTTCATGTCACAGCCATCAGAACTCCCTGATGCTTGGTGACTCATCTTTCATTTTCTGTAGTAAAAAAAAAAATCTCCACATTTCTTCAATGAGATGAACATTTATTGTTTAACAATCACTTAGTCTACAGTTATATGGTTTTTCATTTTGTAAGTTTTATCCTCCTAACTCTTAAAAGAGTTATATTTGAGTGACCTGCAGCTCCAATCATTTTTTCAGAAGTGATTCTTTCACAGTCTCTCTTTGAAAATTGTTAACATTTTCTCTATTTTTGATAAGAAAAGTTCTTTCTCTGCCCCTTTAACCTGTCAAACTGTTCACATACAAAAAAAGGTCATCAACCTACAGGTGATTTAAGAATTTATATTTATGCTGCATTTTTTTTTGCTGAAAACTGATTATATTCTATCTGAAGATCATTTCATTACATATAGATTTTTAACAGTTTTTATTAAACCAAAGTTCTTTTCCTACTAGTTTCAGGCATCAAACTGTTCACCTGTCAAGAAGACCTGATATCTTTTACCAGTTGATTTAATTATTTTTATTTAAACAAGAGTAATTTTTTTGCCTCTTTCAACACTAAACTGCTCCACATGAAAGGGAAGTTCAATACATAGGAGGAGGAAATCAATAGAAACCTTCTTCTAAGGAATAAGTACCATAACATATCTAGGACCCCTAGATCCATGGCAGTAGAAAACAAAAGGAAGTGGACCAGAATCCATATAGGAACCATTTTGCTAGAGGTCTAATGACATCATTCCCTATACTCAATAAAATCCAATAACTTCCAAGCAACTCCAGGGTCAGATATGAAATCATTTGTTTAGCATTCATAGCCCTTCATAACCTAGCTCTGATCCCTCTCCCTCCCCTTTCTAGTCTTCTTATACCATATATTGAATCCTCTCCACCACCTATACTTTGATCCGGTGACAATGGCCTCCTTACTATTCCTCACACAACATATTCCATGTCTCAGCTCTAGACATTTTCCCAGGCTGTCCCCCAAGCCTGGAATTCCCTTCCTCCTGGCTTCTCTCTGGCTTCCTTCAAGTCACAACTAAAATCTCACCTTTTACAGGAAGCCTTTCTTGATCCCTCTTAATCTTAGTATGGTTTTGGGAATTTTTGATTTCCTTTGATCCCTCTTGCATCTTTGAGTGAACATTAACCTCATCAAACCAAAATGTGTCCCATGGGACATGAAAAGTTACTTAAGAGTGTTAAACATTCCTTAGAGAAGAAGCCAGAGGAAGGATCTCCACCGCCTCTGACTCCTTGGCAACATATCAATCCTCATCCTCAATTAGTCTATTTGTGAATCTGTAAATGTAGTTTGATCTGTAACCTGGCTTAGTTTACCTATAGAGTTTGGTGAATGAGGTTTGTCTCCTTAGGGGGTATGTGAGATTATGATTTTGTTTTAACTATTTGTTCAACTTTTATAACATTGAAAGAAATATGGGATTATGGCGCTATCTTCTCTTTAACTTTCATGACTTAAGAGGAATGAACAAAATTTCAAAGTGTGAAAGAATGATTTCTCTGTCAGCCTGATGTAATTTTGCCTATTTCAGCTTTTCTCTGAGGCCTGAACCCTGTGCTTGAGCATAATTATAAAACTTAAATTTTTACCTCCATCATTTCTGCATTGAGGTAAATAGCTATTTGGTGACAGTTACCCACCACATGTACTCAGGGAGGAGATATTTCTCCTCTAACATTATCTTCCCTCTGTTAATTCTCTCCTATTTATCCTGTGTATAGCTTGTTTGTATATAGTGGTTTCTTATTTCCCCATTAGATTGTGAACTCCATGGGGTCAGGGGCTGTCTTTGTTTTTCTTTGTATCTCCAGTGCTTAGCACAGTGCCTGGCATATAGTAGGCACTTAATAAATGCTTATTTACTGACTGAGGTGGAAAAGTGAATAAAATGTGTCTTGTCTCTTTGGAACTCCTGACATTTGGAGAGGGTATCAATTCAACCTTTTTCACTTGCCTCATTTACCCATTTTTTTTGCATGATAGATTCACTGCTTTTGTTAGATTATCCTTTTGCTCCATTTACCAAATTAGTGTCTCTCTCAGTTACACAGCAATCAGTGGAACTAACTGGACCACTGAGATTCTAACCTTTAATACTTTGTCATCACTTCAAGTTGTGAAAAAGTGCCATGTGGAGTTAGTATACGAAAAATGATCAAATTTTGGATTTCTTTCTGTGTTTCAGAATTTAAAATGGTTTTGACTAAAAATTACATTCTATAGCACTTCATTATCTTTTTGCAAGGCAGATGCTCAATTAATTTTCATCTTTCTTAATATTCATTTAAAATTTTTTGAGTTCCAAATTCTCTCTTTCCCTCCCACACCCCACCCATTAAGAAGGCAAGAAATGTGATATCAATTATACATGCTGTACTTTAATTTATAATGATCTTATCTGGTAGGGCAAATATTATTAACTATTTTACAGAAGAAGAAACTGAGGCATGGACAGCCAACGTGATTTGCCCATGATTAAATGGGAAGGGACTGGAGGGGAATAAGTATTTGTATTGTACCTTCTATGTGCCAGACAGTGCACAAGCATTTTTTACAGATTTATCTCATTTGAGCCTCACAACAACCCTGGGAAGTTAGCTGATTAGCAGTTGGCAGAATCTGAATTTGAGCCCAGATTTCCTGGTTTAGAGTCCAATGATCATTTTACGCAGCACTCTCCTGACTGAGGGAATAGATCACAGATGTAGGGAGAGAAGGCATCTCAAAGCCATCTTTTCACCTTACAGATGATTAAATTGAATCTTAGAGAGATGATGACTTTCCCAGGGTCACATAATTTGTAAATAGCTTAAGCAGGATTTGAACCCAAGTCTTCCTGACTCCAAGTTCTATGCTTTAATCACAAGACAATACAACTGAGATCACAACTCCTTGCTTACAGCAGTTGAAGTGGGGATATGGTGAATGTGAATGCAAAAAGGAGCGGAATTTTATTTTAATTGGAATTGCATCCTTCTTAGCTTTAATTTAAGAAAAGTTTTTAAAATGGCGTTTTATAGTCCAAGAATGTTACATTTCATTCCCGTCTATCACCTGACATACTGGACTGGGCTGACGGAGGCTGGACCAAGAAGAATGCTTTCCTCCAAGCCTTTGAGTATTTTGTATGGCTGGCCATCCATTTGAATTTTAGATGGATGCCCATCCATTATTCCTCAACCTCATTACTTGACTAGACACTTCCCTTTGGATTTCTACATGTTTATTTAAACATTTATATATACACCTATTTTATGACATTTTATATACAAAGTCACCATTTAGAATACTCACGTGTCTTCCCTATGAGTCATGTGTGGGATTTGATTCCTTGGCGATTGTGGTGTTCCATGATTTGCAGTCACACAGCAACACCAAGAGAATATTGCCATTAAAAAGGTAGGTTTTCATATTGGGACGAAATTTGAAAATCATCAAAAGCGTTGCACGATTTCCCAAAAGCGATCTAGTCAACTTCCTTCTTCCACTTTAATTCTGAGTCTAACGTGTAATGTTAGGGGGTAATTAGAAGCACTTGCGCCTTGCAGTTGGCCATCCGCTGTTGGACCTGTCAGCCTGCTTTCTGGCGTACCTCTCTCCCTACATCTAATGCGATCATTGTACATTGCTGTTCTCATCATGTTCCATTGCATTCATTGCTTCCTCTTGTTGTTCACCTGTGGCGGAGGTGTCAAACTTGGTGTCTGCCACAATTAAAATGTAATTGGGAAATGTTTAACAAAAATAAATGGAGATATAATACAATATAGATAATGTTAACTTGTATTTTTTAAGTCAATATGCAGCCCGAAGGAATACTTTCATTTTGAGTTTGATACCATTGACTTATTGGACATTTAAAATCATCTGAATTACAGTTGGGGTAGCAAGTACAGAAGGGAGAAATAACCTGCCCAAAGAAACACAGTTAATTAAACACCAGAGATCTTTATCTAAGAAACTGTCCATAAATTTTTTTTTCTCAGTTTTTTGCTTTCCTTCTGATCTTGGTTACATTTGTTTAATTTACACAAAATCTTTTAAATTTAATATAATCAAAATTATATATTTTATACCTGCTGCTCTCTATCTATCTCTTGTTTATTCATAAATTGTTCATAAGTCTGATAGGTAATATATTCCATGTTCTTCAAATTTTCTTGTAATTTCTCTTTTTATATCTAGGTCATGTATCCATTTTGACCTTATCTTAGTAAATGGCATAAGACAGGCCTGCGCAATGTTTTCATGGCCCTTGTGCTGCTTATAGCCAGCAAAAGGATTTTGGGTAGCCTGTGAAAAATGCAGAGGATATAAAACAGGCCTGCACGACATACCACCCACGGGCTACTTTAGTGGGCTGCAAGAGGCCCATGGACGATATGTTGTGCAGTCCTGGTATAAGATATTGGTCTATGCTCAGTTTCTACCAGACTGCATTCCAGTTTTCCCAACAATGTTTACCAAATAATGAATTCTTATCCCCAAAACTTAAGTCTTTACCCTTGTCAAATACAAGGTTACTATGTTTGCTGCTGTAAAATGTATGTCTACTTTGTTCCACGGATCTACCTTTCTATTTCTTAGCCAGTACCAGATAGTTTTGATACTTATAGATATAGTTTAAGATCTGGTACTGCATAGGAAGTAAAGTTTTCTGATAGTATTCCTTGTACGACACTCATCACACTGCTTCATTGATAAAATTATTGAACAGAATAAGGCTAAATACAGAGCCCTGGGGTACACTACTAGAGAGCTCTGTTCAGGTCAACATTAATCCAATAATTAATTCTTCTTCATTTTAAAATTTATTTTTGTTTTTTTTTCTCCCAATAATAAATTCTATTGGTACAACTCATGCAGAATAGATATGAAATTTGTAGATCTCCTTGTCACACTTGGGTTATGCAGTGGCATACATAGTCCCAAACTGCATCATGTTCTGCTTTCCATAAAGGGGGCATCTGCCTTCCACTATAGAAAAATAGTGAAACACTGTACTAGTTATTCAATGATAGATTATAATATCTGAGTTGTCCACCAGGTGGTGTTACACTCAAGCCTCCAGCCAAATGATATCCCTAGCGTTTATATCTCATGCATTCATGACAATGTCCCACACCCCAAAGTTTCATGACTTCATATGACTGACTAAGTGAAAAAGACCTGTGCTGGTTGGATTCTGAATTTAGACTAGTGGAAGTTGAAACATTGCTGAAAATTATTTTAAAACGAGAAAAGCCATGGCTAAGCACCATCCTAAGTCTAAAATTCCTTCCACAACAATACCTTCTATCACAGAATACCAGTAATCAACATATAATGGCTGCATAATTTATTAGCTATAATAGAAATGGAAAAACAGCTTGTTAAGCACTCTCTACATCGCACCCTCTAAGCAGCTATCTTCCCAAACTCCTGATTATCCTCCCCACTCTCAAGTGCAGTTGGGATTTCTTGCACAAAATTCACATACTGAAAAGAAATAAAAATGGAAGTTTGTATGTCTAGGATTCCATCCCTGGATCCTGAAAGACAAGCAAAGAAGGCAAGGGAAGGATGGGAAGAGGAGTCAGTATCCCTTCCTTTATAATAGCTTCCAGTCTCTGCCACAGAGGGACCTCTTCTTGCTCTGATCATCCTGATTCTGCTCCCAGTATAGTTGTTTCCACAGCACTGGTCCCAGTCACCAGAAGTCACAGAAGCTTGGGTCATAGCACTTGGCATCGTCTGCCAATCTGATTTCGACCTACTCAGTCCCTGGTCCCAAACGCTGCAAATTAGAAGTTAGGCCTATGGTAACCAATAACCCAGGATTCTGATTCCTGTTTGGTGGGCAGGGAGCCTCAGTTTGGCTGCAGCAGCCTTCTAACCCTTCTGGTCACAAGAACAGATGCTAAATCATTCTTATCATAGTAGATAGATTTTAAGAGTACAGAGGCAGGAACCACAGAAAAGGAGAGGCTGAGGGGAAAGGGAAAGAGAAAAGGAGAAAGAAAAGAGGAGAAAGAAATGGACAAGAGTTACAATCCAGAAAACAGAGTCAAGGAATATATGTGATCCATCCTAATTCTTTCTGTTGGCACAAAGGCTCATTTTGGCTCCATCTCTCAAGACTCACTTCTGGCACATACTGATCATGGGACTCTGGATCAGTTACTAAACCTCTCAGTGCTCTACACAATTCTCTAAGGATAAAAGTTGCAGAGTAGGATGCTATTTGAGTTTGTAGAAGAAGTTTCCTTATCCTAGAACTTCCTAAACCAATGAAATCACAAGTCTCAGTGTCTATCCCAATACCTCTCAACCCCAATCTGGATGAAGCATTTAACCCCCTTAGCTACTTCCAGATTCTTAGTTTGGGTCATTCAAACAATTCCTAATCTACCTAACTATACTATCATTCAGTCAGCCATTCAGCCAAGATCTCATTATCTTGTCCATAACTATATAGTCAATCAGTTGGTTAATAAACACTTAAATTATTTTATATATGTATAAGTAATGTATTTTATTTTGATATGCATAATAAATATAGTTTATATTTATTGAAACTTTCTAAGTATCTGTTAAATGCCAGACACTGGGCTAAATATTACATCTACAGTATCCCAAAAGAATTTGTAGATTCCAAAAGAATCAGCAATAATTGTTGAAACAGTATCGTTGATTTTTGAGGGATTATGGAGAAATGGAGAGGTATTGAACGACTAGAGCTAGATAGTGGTCTCAGTTTTCATAAGAGAAAGAAAG